GGATGAACACACACACACACACACCCACCCACCCACACACACGCACACCCCGGGACAGGTGTATACACACACACCCACGCACCCACACACACCCACACACACCCACACACACCCACATAAACCCACACACACAGACAGTCCGGGACAGGTGCACGGCATCACCTGGCCAGACACTCGCAGGCACCCCAGAGCAGGTGCGCAGCATCCTTCAGTCCCCATCAGCCGTGTCCCCGCTCCTGCAGCTGCCCAGCTGGCACAAATCGTGTTCCTCCCTCTGGGGTCCGGCCCGGCGCTCGCACGGCTCTGGGTGCGAGGGCTCGGGACGTGCTCCCGCTCTGACAGCCGCCAGGATACACACACTTAAATTGATTTGTAAAGGATGCTTCTTTCCAAGCTCATTGATATGCACATTGCATGGTGTGTTCTCTGTCTAGTCAAGTCCTAAGAAAATTCAGAGCTGTGATCCAGTAGAGATTTCAAATGGCTGGGGTGCGGGGAGTTAAAGTCACAGAATTATGTAATGGTTTGGACTGGTAGGGGCTTTAAAGACCATCTAGTTCAACTTCCCTACAGTGAGCACGGACGCCGTCCACTAGACCACCTTGCTTGTGGTGTTGCATGGACTTAGTGAAGCAGCAGTATAAATCTTCCATATAAAAGATGAAAAACGTCAGTGAAGTGGCCACTTAAAGTACTGTTAACAACTCCTGAAGGAACTGTCTTGTCTTTTTTTATAGGGAAAAGGTATTTCAATTTGCCTTCAGAAAACTCTTACATTGATGCAGAACAACCCTTGACCCAGCTCCAGATTTATGTTCAATGCATTTATATGTCCAAATTTGAATGAAGATCCATATCCGATTTGGAATTTAAGTAAAGTTTTCATGGTCTGCATCAGTTCATTAGAAATGCAGCAGATTTATATTGGGAGGGAAAAACAGAAAGCAAAACTGCAGAAGGAAAGTGAGACAGACTCCTTGGACTGTAATTAGTGGTAAAATGGAAAAACCAGCCAAATTCACCTCACTGTGGTTTGAAACACTTGTTGAATGCAAAGCAAGTATTGCAAAGCGAAAAGAGGAGAAAGCATGTGTTTCGTGGGAGGAAAAGAAGGCACAATATGCTCTACAAAACAAGATTGCTGATTTTCTTGATCTCTCACCCGCAGCTCTCAGCAGGATCCCAGTGACAGGCAGAACCTCACAGTCCCAGGCACAGCCTGGGTTCTGCTGCCGGCCCATCTGGACCAGGTCTCCTTTGCCAAACTTGCTCAGCTGGAGGCTCCCAGAGTCTCTCTTATTTCGGGACTTGCTCTGAGTTTAACTGTGTGATTGAAGCAAAAGATCCCTGGTAGGCAGAGGGCTCTGGGAAGTTTCTGTGTCTCTCCATGTCAGAATGAGTATGTCTACATAGAAGGTGGATTTAAAGGACTTAGCTGGAATACAACTGACAGGGATTAACGATCCGAGCTGTTACCCTCAGGCCCTGTCAAGCCCTGTCAAGCTTTGCAGCCTGCTCCAAGCTCCCTTATTGATGGGAAAATATAAAGAACAACATATACATCCCCCATGTGCTCCACTATATAGTTTTGCATCCCCCGTGAGGCCACTTTGAGCTGCACATGGGTCTAGAAAACGGGGGTCACTGTCCTTCATGGGATGTGCAGACAGTCTGGGATTATTTCTTATGTCAGCAACCTGAAATTATTCAAACAGAGCAGCAATGAAGTTGTCCTCAAATTAGCATCCGCCTCAGCATTGTAGCAGCAATATTCCCTGGCTTGTCTAAAGGGTTTGTTAATGAGTCTGTGTGGCATTATATGCAGAGTGGATAAATATCCGGTGGCTCGGATAAAAAAGAGCTGAAAGCCCCAGCTTCTCTTCTGTAAGGCTGAATTCATTCAATTAAACAGCTTTGAGAGCTCAGCTACGGTTTAGCGGGAGACTTTATTACCTCCTAAAACTTGGAGAGTATTAAAACAATTGTCAGGCATGCAAAGGAAAGTTTGCATTCAGTTGTGCTAAGCAGCTGAATTTACATATTCTCAAGCAGATCTGGAGATTTAGAAAGCCTTCATAATTGCATTAAACATGCTTATTCTCCGTGTTCTCTCAGGCAGAGCTGATTACCCCGAGTTGGGCAATGCCTGGAGGGAAATTTGCTAAGCCACATGATGTCAACAACTTGTAAAGAAACTTGATTATTTTTGAAGGAAATAATAGTTTGGTTATTTCTGAAAAACATCTATTGTCTAGCATCTGTATGAGACTCCTTGTCTTCTGCCTGGGCCCTTTCAGGATGCTGATGCTGAGTCCGCTCGTGGTGACTCTCAGGCCCAGCTATCCACCTCAGCTCACTAGCAGGGTCTAATGTCCAGGAAATGCTGGGTGTAGACCGACAAAATAGCCCCAGTGCCAGGCAAAATTTTGGACCAGATGTCCTTTTCCCTGCACTTAACCCCTAACAGACTGGGGTGAGTGAAGTGGCTGCAGAATTGCTTCCACCATCCCAAACCTTCATCCCACAGGAAAGCACTCAGTGCTTTCTAATGGGCTCCAGGGGTTATACTGCTTTTTTTTCCTCACTTTTGCATAGGAAATTTATCTGGCTTTGTGCATTTTCCTATGCTTGATATAGGGAGCAACATCGCAACCATGTCTGGGGGTTGAACCAAGGCTTCTGAGAGTAACACCCTTGGCATCAAACTTGGCTTTTTTAGAAAACCAGGGCAGAATCACTGAGAATCAAAGGGAGTAGGAGCATGCCCTGATCACTGATGCTTTGCTCTGGCCACAGATTGAGCTCATGGCCACACGACTGAGCCCTTCACAAGAAGAACAATTTGTTACCCTTGCAGCCCAGGCAGGACACAAAGGAGAGCAGTTTCCACAAGCGAGGAAGCCTTGCAGAGTCGAGGGCTGTGTTACAGTGCCAGCACTTCTGCGGAGCAGCTGCTCGCTGGAGCCAGTTGCAGAAGCTCTGTCTGCCCTCCTGAAGCTCATGGGGCTGCTCACCTCAGTGTCCAAGTGTCCCAGGGTAAATCCTCTGCCATGCCAGGGAAGGATCTTACTGGGATTCAGCCTGAAAAAAATATCTCATGTTGTGACTCATCACTAAAAGCAAGTAGATTCAGGCTGATATAAGGAAGAAATGTCCTATGATGAGATTTGTGAAACACTGGTGCAAGTTGCCCAGAGAGGTGGTTGATTCCCCATCCCTGGAAGTGTTCAAGGCCAGGCTGGATGAGGCTTTGAGCAAGCTGGTCTTGTTGAAGATGTCCCCACTCACTGCAGGGAGATTGGAACCAGGTGATCTTTGCAGTCCCTTCCAACCCAAACTGTTCCATGATTTTATGATCACTAGCAAAATCTTCTCCAAGGGAAGGCAAACCAAATCCAGCGCTGAGCCCGGCTCTCACCATTCACAGCACCCACTTTCCTTTCATCGTGGCATCAAGGAGGCAGCGTGAAAGTAAGGAAATCTCTGAGACAGGGGAGGGAGGGCTCCTTTTTTCTTTTTTTCCCCCCTTCCTGGTTGTATGGCCCATATGGTTATCAAGTTCTGGGAAAATCAGGGTGCCCAAACAGGTGTCACCGCTCCCAACCTACAGACTCATTTCCTGATCGCGTCTTAATCGGCGACTTGGTTGT